TCAAAATGGTTAAGGTAGTCAGATGCTATGTAATGTTGATGATGGAAAATAATAGTGGTAAAAAAACGGTTTTGCTCTACAACACCCTTAATGCACCTCTCCGCTATGATTGGATTACAATAAATGGATTAAAATACATTTTAAGCCAAAACTTTATCACAAAACTATCATAATAATCAATATGTCAGACATCAGGCAGCATCTATCTGTGGTAGGACAATGATCCAAAATACATCTCAAAAACCACCATGAACTATTTAAAGAAATGCAAGGTGAAGCTTTTGGAAATCACAGTCATCAAAGTCCCCTCGTTGGATATCATGTTATCAATATCAATTTGTAAAAAAAAATCTTTCAGTAGATTTGCATGTGCTGTGCTGGCAAAACAGTCCCAAGAGTATTGCAGAACTAGAAGTGTTCTGCAAGGAAGAGTGGATGAATAATATGAAAAAAAGAATAAAAAGACTCTTAGCTGGCTACAAATAAAAGTATTTGTAAGCTGTGATATTCGCCAACGGTGTGTTTTTAGGTACTGACTTAGTGTCCAAACTTGTGCACATGCCACAGTTACTATTTTTTTTATTAATATTTTAGGTTATTCAAATATAAAGTATAAAGTAGAATATATTTTTTAAACTGCTGCTGGCATTGTGTTTACTTCTTTTAACTTTAAAAATAATCAAATGTGTAATTTGGCCTAAACTTTTGAATACAGCTGTAGCATACGCACACAGAAATCCTGCATTAGTTCACTAGCATTTGAATTGTGTTGTTGGTTCAAAGCAGTTTGCATTCACAAATCTGTGACAGTGACATGATTCAGTGAGTAAAATAAACAGATGTCTTCTTGTCCAGCCACATTTCTATGAAGCAGTACTTCACCATGGGTACTTTAGTTTTATTGTTGACTCCGTCACTAATTGTGACTCAGGCCTAAACCTTGTGCAACACAAGTATTTAATGTGCCTGACCTACTATCACCATAATATGTCTCAAACAACAGATCTCACACTGGTTTCTCTTTGCATATAGTGCAGTCGGAAGTGGGTATATACAAGCATAGCATGGAAGCTACAAACCATTTCAGCAAAAAAATGTCTTTAACAGAAGCCTTGAGCCGTTAAAGATATTGCTTTCAAAGAAGACCACGGTGATAACCATAAAAAGATAATAGGGTCATAAAATAGGTCCTCCAGAAGAAACATGGAAACATTGGGCCTCATTCTCCAACCGTTCTTAAAACCCACTTATGCAGTTTTCACAAAGATTCTGATATTCACCAGTATTTTCTCATTTGGGATTTGTTCATAGGTAAGAACACATCATGAATCTGAAGTAGACTTTTTCTTAGGACCTTTCTCAAGAACGTATTTAAGAACAAACTTAGGAAGATATTGGTGAATGAGGCCCAATAAATGTGGGCTTGGGATGTGTGTGGTAGTCGGACTCGTGTGACTCTTTCTGAGATTCCTAAATCCTCAATGGTTTAGTTGTCAGTCCCATGGCCCACATGCTTCTATGGTGATCTGAGATACTTGGGCTTTTACTCATGTGGCTAGAACACTGAACATTCCTGGATTGTCCTGGATTTTGGCTGCCTGTCTTGGACATACTTTTGGAGTGTCTTTTTTATCCAGTCAAACCATTTATATATGCAGAATAGGTTTAGATGACCCCCTATGTTAGGATCAATTGTTTGAGAGGTGCACTGTTGACAAGTTTATGCAATAACTGAGAAGAATCAGTTCTGTAGCCGAACTGACACCTGCGGGTCAGGAGCACTAGTATCTATCTGTCGAATTTAGTACAAAGCTCAAGGATAGGATTTTAAGGAACATAAGGATTGCTAGAGTTTTTCCTCAATAGCACCTTTCACAAACCCAACAACCGTTTATATTATTTTTTCAAAAAAAGTATTTATGCTTAAAACAGGGGGAAAAATCACTAAGACAGAGGAAGAATAATAGGGTGCAGTAAAAAGGAATGTTTTAAGTTGAAATTTAAAGCATGAAAAGAACAGTCACACACACATTGAGGCAGAATTTGAGTTAACGAGCAATAGCATTGAAAGACCTGCTGCCCATTAATGGGAGTCTTGGTGAGGGGCATCATAAGGTAGAAGATCAAAGGTAACAATAGGGACTGTAGGGATGAAGAAGGTCAAAAAGGCATGAAGAGGTGAGAATATGCAAGGCTTGAGAAGTTAGAAAGAGCAGTTTGCACTTGATATGGGAGTATACTGTTAACCCATAAAGATGATACACGACAGGGTGATGTGTGAAGATCACTTATTAAAGTTGGTTAAGCATTTTAATATTCAATATTAACCTTCTTTACTAAATGTAACTCTGCATTTCTCTGTATCTGGCTTGTGTAAATGATTGTCATTCCTTAGCAGGCTGTGCAAATGAATCCCAAAGAATGCACGGTCTTTCTGAGTGGTGCCCAAAAGCAACTGGAATGCATTTTCGGCATTCTAAAAGCTCTTTCCCAGATCCAACTCACATCAACTCATGGGTGATGCTGCATAACCTTCAGGTTTTAGCATAATGCAGAACACAGTAAAACCAGTCTGGAATGCACAGTCTGTCTCAGACACTGGTAGGCTTCTACAATGACATGTGTCATTATGGATCACTATAAGCCTGTTCTAGCAATACTGAGCAATACTAAGCCATATAATCTTTTGAAGACTTTATCAGTTCATTTCCTGTTTTATGAAAACAAAACAAAAAAACAACAACAAAAAAAACAAACAAAAGTGGACACTGATTTGGATTACATAGGAGTACTTTTGCACAGTGAACCTTCCACTAAATGGTGAAGGAAGCTAATAGAGCTGTGTTTTTAGTAGTAAGAGGAAAGTAGATATATGAAAAAAGGACCATAATAGTGGATAAAGACCTAAATAGAAGTGTTAATCTCTGGCTTACTACCATCCATCTACAATGATCATATATTTAAGTTATATACAGCGTTAAACTAAAATATACTGCTAAGTCCCATACCATGTTTGGTGATTTTGCTGCAGAAAAACAGTAAAAAGAAAAGAGATACAGCTTATGCAATGTGTGATTGACACTCTTGTGCCAGGCAATCCACATGCAAAAGTGGGTTCATTCTAGTCAGCGTAAGGCATCAACACATGCACATCATGTGTTTAAGTTTTCTCCTATAAGCAAACAAATCTGAGCAGATCTTTTTAACTTTGGATCATATTTATATCTAGATGTAGTCAGTTCAGCAACTGATCACATGCCATTTCAGGGAAATAACTGATTTCAATATATTAGTGCCTTCTGAACATCTAATCTCTTTCTACATCAGTCAGTGGAGATTCAGTTGTCATTTCATTTTTTACAACCCCTTCATCAGGGCTTATAGCTTTCTACAGCACTATTTAGAGGCCAGAAGCAAAACATACCATACATGATGAGAGGTTATTTACTAAATACTAAAGGTAAAAAAGTAAGATAAAAAAAATATATAACCTTTCTCCTTCTCAGAAAGAAGTTAAATATTAGCTTAAGGCGAGTGTACCTTAAGCAATAGTTTCGGAGGTCATGCAGGGTTGGTGGTCATAAAGCAAGGTCATGATTCACAAGGCTTTCCATCATGACTGGAGGATGAATGCCACATGTAAATAGCTATAAAATGGTCAGAGGGCAGGAGGAATCATATCAGGAGCACACATACAACTAAGCAAAGACATAGAGAAGATTGTAAAGTATAAGCAAACTTTGTAAAACCTACCTGATCAGACCTTACACAACTGAAAGGAGTCAACCATTTTATAAATCACTCAGAGTAAACTTAACAACTTGAGCGAATGACTGCAAACTTGAGTATGTTTAGTATAATTTTTTTTGTGGAGGAATGTTTTTTGCATGTTTTGTAATACTTGGGGGCGGCACGGTGGCGCAGTGGGTAGCGCTGTCGCCTCACAGCAAGAAGGGCCTGGGTTCGATTCCCGGCCGGGTGACCAGGGTCGTTTCTGTGTGGAGTTTGCATGTTCTCCCCGTGTCTGCGTGGGTTTCCTCCGGGTACTCCGGTTTCCTCCCACAGTCCCAAAAAAAACATGCAGTCAGGCCAATTGGACATGCTAAATTGCCCCTAGGTGTGAGTGTGTGTGTGGATGTGGATGTATATGTCTGTTTGTCTGCCCTGCGATGGACTGGCGACCTGTCCAGGGTGTATCCTGCCTTTCGCCCGATGACAGCTGGGATAGGCTCCAGCACTCCACTGCGACCCAGAAGGATAAGCGGTTTAGATGATGGATGGATGTAATACTTGGTCGATTTGTTTTGTCTGTTTTCCAACATTTCGCTGTAAACCACTTAAAAAATCTAACCTAGCACAGTCTTCATTTTAGTTTTATTTTAGTAATCTGATTTTACTCAGTCCCCTGTGTCTTTTTAGCGAACAGATGTGCTTTAAATTACGTCAAGGAGTGACACCAAGGGTAGGCTTCATAGGTAAATGCTACCTGAAAACACAATTGCTGATTTCATTTTTGCACTTTTAGGCCTCGTTGTGCTTTGGACAAAAGTCGAGTCAGAGTTACATTTGTGTGAATACTGAAAAAAAAAAAATATTTTCTGAAGCAGGCTGCTGGTAGCAAGAGAGAGTTAGCAGTCTTTTGTACACCAGTTGTGAGGGTCTTTTTTTTCTTTTAAAAGTTGACAACCACACAGCAGCATTAAAATTATGTGCAACGTCGCCAGAGAGCCCTCGTTTTTAAATACACAGGACTTTACAGTTAGCGCTTCTTGTAGTGCTTAAAGGACACCAGTACCTGAAAGGCATGTTCAAACGCCGGGTTTCATTCCCCCACACCCGTATTCTGCTCCGTGCTATGACTGGCTAATAGTATCTCGCCTCCAGCGCTGGGATTGGCTCGTACTTAATAATCATAAAGAATATAAATCACCAACCAATCCTAGAACAGGAGAATAGATACTATTAGCCAATCGTAGCGCAATTGTCTGAATATGGGTGGAGAAAAAATTACGTTTAAGCCGAGAGAGCTTTGGTCAAGGGCCACGTTTATCCAGAACCCTGTGCTCTTTCTGCCTAAGAGGCTTACCTAATCCCGCGTGCAGCGTCCAGCCTCTTGGCAAAATCAAAATCTGGACGGACTGTTGTGATATGAAACAGGAATAACGCGTGTAACAGGGAGGGGGTGGGGGAGCAACTTCTATCCACCCTCACCGACCGACGGCACGATATTCACTGTAAGGCAACGTTTTACTACAGGAGTTAGATGCGGCGCGAGGCAAGTTGTGGGCGATCATAGCCGAACCCCCGGTGCAGCGCAGCGCCGGGGAGCAGCCCTTTCCTCTCGGTTTTATGAACCTTTTTATGCACGCTTACCCGAGAAGACCGATGGCTAAGATTAGGGTCTCGTACGAGTACTCGGAGGCGGAGGACAAGAGCATCAGGCTCGGACTGTTCCTGATCGCGTGCGGCATCCTGTCGCTCTTCATCCTTTGCTTCTGCTGGCTGAGCCCCACCTTGCAGAGCATGCGGAGCAAGCCGGCCAACTGCACGGTGATCTCCGTGAGCTGTCTTGAGGAGCGCTTCGAGTGCGTGTTCACGTGCGGCGCCGACTGCAAGGGCACGTCGCTCTATCCGTGCCTGCAGATCTTTGTCAACAACTCCGAGTCCAACTCGGTCGCGCTGCTGCACTACGATGAGCAACAGCTGGTGCTCAACCCCAAGGTAAGCGGTGCGCGACGCGACGGGATCGGTGGTTGTTTGAGAGTCTGGCCACGCACTTTCTTCAGTTTTTTGGGTTTCATGGATATTTGACGTGTCATTATCATGCTTTACTATTTACTACTTTGTGGGATTTGATGACTTATTCATATGACCGATTTGTTGAGGTTTTGTTAACATCCTTCACAAAGTTTGCAGGGTTTTGCGAACTCAACATGTTTACTCATCTATGGTCCACGGACTCTCAGTAGTTCGTAGGCTTATTCTATCCACATCGTTTCAGCAGCGTGGAGGGCTTTGAAGAACTTTTGAAGTTCCTGAGTTTTGGAGGAATTTTGATGAATTTTTCAAGCCATTTTGTCAGTTCGTGGGGGTTAGGAGGACTCGTCCACATACTTTTGTCAATTTGTGGGTTTTTGTGAATTTTCTTTCAGTTCTTCCATCGGTTCAAATGTGTTTTTAAGGTTGCACTGACAGTTTTTTAAATCAGTTCACTGAATTTCCACGGACATTTTCCCATCTTCTTGTCCTTTTAAGTTGTGAGTTGATTGAGACGTTGTCCACATCCTTCTATGAGCTTGTAGAAGGTTGGAGAACTAGTGTTCATCCTCTCCTGAGTTTTGATTGAGGTTTATCAACTTATTTATTTATTTATTTGAAGTTTTTTTTCCAGTTTTGTGGGTTTCTGCAGACTCATTCACATCCTTTATTAAAGTTGTAGACGTTTTGAAACCTTGTCCACATCCTTTTCTTTATGGTTGGTTTCTGGAGACCCGTCCTCATCCTTTTTTCGCTTTATTAAGTTTTTTTTTTTAGAACTCGGCAACATCATCTCATTGGTTTGTATGGTTTTTAAAGAAGTTAGGCACCAAACTCATTGCAGTATGATAGCTGAGTATCATAATAGTCACAAAAGTCATGAGGTAACATTCAGTGTCAGTTAGTTTCTTAATGAAGTAATTTTGCAAAATGATAATAATGAGCTAAAACCTAACCTTTCTTCATGATGCATTTTGTAATTTGGCGTGGGCGAATACTGCCTCTTTGTTTAAAAATAATGTTATTGAGAACGCAAAAAATCATTACTTGAATTGATCAGCAACAGTGAAATTTAAGTGCTCATGCAGCATTTTCCCTATGCAGGATTCTGAACATTCTAAAAGCTATTCATATCATCACTGTCAGAACAAAACTTTTTTATCACAGTGTTTCATTTTTGTTTTCATTGATTTTAAAACAGTAGCTGCCCTTTACATTGTGTCCCAGTTTCATGATGGATGGACCAATAGAACTGGTCCAAAATTGCTTAGAACGAGATCTTGTTCTGTTGACTTGCATTCAGATTAATGATGTTTTTTCATTCTCCTGTAAAGATACCTTTTTGGAGAGAAGAGGTTTTGTACCGACTGCAACAATATACTTCTCTGTATTTTGAAGTCAAAACCTGAAGTCCAGATAGCCCTGGATATGATTCACATTTTAAAAAGTTAGAAATGCTTTGCATCAGAGGGACATTCACCCTGATTATCTCAAAATTCATGCTAATAAATTAATGACCAAAGTTAAGAAATTTATTGTCACATTCATTCTCTGCCATCTAGTAAAAATGAGCTTAGCAGTTCACATGTTTTTATTTCAGTTATATGAGTCATTTTAATGTTCTGTCAGACTGGGTTTGGCACTTGGAGATTTGGTTTTGTGTATTATGTTATGAAATTGGCTTTTTGACATCATGACAGACTTTTGGCCATTTTGTTTTACCCTTAAATGCTTAACTTGGGTTGCTAGTGACCTGCCACCCCCTAAAAAACAAATAGCAATGATTAACAAAATAACAACATAATTTATTTTAAATCAAATCTTACCATGATGTATTATTATTATTGTCAGTACAATGTTTTACCAGTTTTACACAATCATAGCAGTTTTCAGATCAACTTGTACTAGGCGTGTCAGTTTGCTGACAACAGGAGATATGTAAGAATGGTTCATAGAACATAAATGCATTCAATGGGTAAAAATGCCCTTTCTTGCATCATGCCACATGTTAGTGCCATGGTAACGTTAACACTTCCGCGCTGGCAGAGGCTCTCTATTTTCACCTGGTTCCCATGGCAACATTCTGGGGAACTCCTGTGAATTGAACTGGCAGTGTTTCATTGACGAGGAGGTAATGGCTGAGTGGTTACGTTTGCTTTTAGCAAGGTAGTGAATGAATTACCGCAAACAAAGACCTCATTCAGCTTTTAACACAAAGCAGTACATCTCCACATTCAGAATGGAGGCGCTGTGAGTACGACACCAGAGATTTATAAAAGCGCCGTTATTCATTCATCATCCTAGTGTCTAAAAATGCTAGCTGGATGTGTTAAAGCCAGCATTCTCAACCCTGTTCACACATAACATATGTATCAAAATAGGCCTATCTAAATGAATAAATGTTTTTAGTTATTGTCTTATAAAAAATCCCGTACATTGTCTTCAAGGAGATATAATGAACAAAACTCCATTTCCTTACCATTTCACGTCAAGTGTACCAAAAGCTGTACTGTACTGAAAGCTACTTACAAAGCAAATTACATTGCTGTGTCATGATATGCTTGGTTGGCATGCTCAGTGCTCTTGATCTAGTGACAGTATCTGACTCTCAGCGTATACAAACTTAAGCATTTAAATATGTACACTATATGGCCAATAGTATTTGGACACCCATCCTAATTCATGAGTTCAGTCATTTCAGGCATATCATTGCTAACAGGCATATAAAATAAAGCACACAGCCATGTAATCTCCATAGAAAAATATCAGCAGTAGAATGGGTTGTAGTGAAGAGCTCAGTGTTTTTAATTGTGGACAGACCACCACTTTTGCCAGCTTTGCTTCATAACATGGGGGTCATTACAGATGTCATTATGGGTGTCATTAAGATCACTACGCACAATGCCAGGCATCAGTTGGAGTGGTATAAAGCACGCTGCCACGGGACTCTGGAGCAGTGTAAACTATTTTTTTAGAGTGATGAATTGTGCCTCACTATCTGGCAGTCTGATGGACGAATCTGGGTTTGGTAGATGCCAGGAGAATGCTAAAAATTGGTATGCATAGTACCAACAGTAATATTGGGTGGAGGAGGGATAATGGTCTGGGGCTGTTTTTCAGAGTTTGGGCTCGGTCCCATAGTTCCATTGATGTGTAATGTTAGTACTGCAGCATGCAAAGACATTTAGACAGTTAAATGATTCCAACTTTGTGGCAGCAGTTTGGGGAAGGCCCTTTCCTGTTCCTGCGTGACTGTGCCCCTGGGCGAGGTCCATAAAGACATGGTGAAGATGAAGACTTATATAACACACCTTTCTTTAAAATTTTAAGTAAGATTACTTTTTTTTAGCTTGCAAACGCTTTTTGTAGCCAGCTAAGAATCTTTCAGTTCATGTTCAGGAGATTTTCACCTATTCCTCCTTGCAGAAGTCTTTTAGTTCTGTGAGATTCTTGGGCTGTCTTTCATACACTGTTTTTTTGAGGTCTGTCCATAGATTGTCGATGGTCTTTAGGTTGGGAGACTGCGAGAACCATGGTAAACCTTCAGCTTGTGCCTCTTGTGGACTGTTTAGAATCATTATCCTGTTGTAGAAACCATCTTCTTTTCATCTTTAACTTTTTTTTACACACGGTGTGTTATTTGCTTCTGGAATTTGCTGATACTTAATTGAATCCATTCTTCCCTCTCAAAGCATAATCGATCCACCCCCGTGCTAAACAGTTGGAAATGTGTTCTTTTCATGAAACTCTGCACCTCCAAACATGCCTCTGCTCATTGCGGCCACGACAGTAGAACAGTGCACCACCACTCCAGAGTCTGCTAAATCATCCTGATGGCTTTTCTAGCGATCCTACAAGCAGTTCTCTTGGAAAGTTTTCTTGTTCTTCCAGACCTCCACCATTCCTGTTAAATGCCATTTCTTAATTATATTACATACTAAGAAAACAGCTACCCGAAAATGCTTTGCTTTCTTCTTATAGACTTCTGCTTTGTGGGGATCAAATACTTTAATTTTCAGAGTACTAGGAAGCTCCTTACAGGAGCCCAAGGCTGCTGATTGTTGGGACAAGTTTTGAAGAGTCAGTGTGTTTATAAAGCTTTGAAATTTGCATCACTTGGCCTTTCCTAATGGTGATTTTAGGCAAGCCATAGCCCTAACAAGCTAATTAAGGTCCGAGGTTTGTATATCACCAAAGTCTGTTGAGTCTGAAATATCATTTACAAGAAAAACTTGCTACTGATGCAGCAGCATCGCAAAAGTGCTCGTGGAGTGCTATGGATAAAGAAATAGCTAAAATAATAGAAGTGGAAAACTCCAATTTCAACAAGACAGAGTGTATCTGAATGAGACTGGAGAAATTGGAACATGCAGCCTTTGTTCCTCTCACTGGTCGGTGATTATTTTCATGTTCACCCTGCGTTCACTTGATTTTTGATATCCCTGATTTATATGTTGTGAAATGATTAAAATAATTAGTTGCTTAACTTGTGTAGACTAAATATAAACTTTTGTTAAATATAAACAAAAGTATAACTGTCTGTCAGTGTTTTTGTTAGCTCTAAGACATATCAGGTATTTTCTTGTAGCTAATTACTACATAACATCTTACTGGTATCCAGAGCCAGTCTTAACCTCCCTAAGGCCCCACAAAATTCTACAAAGGGGCCCTCCAACCTCCAAGTAGAGCTATACAGAACAGAATTAAGTATAAACAAACCATATTAAAAATAACATATAATACTGTATTTTATCAGCTGCATCAAGTCCATTCAAACTGGATCCCCTAGATTTCCTTTTCTACTTTTTCAAACACAAAATACCATTTATACCACACATATCAAACTGGGGACCTTCTGAGCTAAAGTGCTGCAGAGATTAGTGTTTACCCTCATCTAATGCTCAGAATTCATGAAGGCCTTGCTAATTAGGTGTGTTTAACGAGGCAGTGTGCTGAAGTCTGCA